AGAGTTTTATATATATGGCTTGGTAACCCCCAATGGTATAAGTAGTCTGGATGGTAAGAACGTCCTCCAGTTATCCTAAGAATGAAATGCATTAGGACACATTTAGATGTTGGTAAATAGAGACTAGCCAGAAGAAGGAGTTAGGGTCAGCTGAACACAGTGGCGGACATGAATGGGAGGCTGTGTCCACAACATGCATACAGGTCTTTGAAAGGCATTTAGAAGTGGTACACACAAGGAGGAGAATTTATGGATGTCAACTTCTTTATTATGAGGAACACAACGTTTCGAAGTATATGCTTACTCCTTCATCAGGTGAAGGATAAATTCGATTCCTTAATATGCATACAGTAAGGGAACACTCATACAGACATTCAGAAAGGGTTTTTTTCCAAGGTAGCCCTGGCTCGTGTTATTTTTTTGACTACCAAACGTAATATTGCAAGAACAAAAACAATTTCACAAGGAGCCAAACGCATTAAGTGAAGGAAAACAATGTGACAGAGGCTTCATGTTGTTACCAATGTCAAAGCACTTCATCCTATTATATTATGGCACGTAAGACAAACTTGGAATTTGAAAACCTGGATTTCCTGGTCTTGAAAGGGTAGCTTATCTGCACATAACTAGTTTTTGTTTTGGGGCGGTCGGGTAGCCTAGTGGTTAAAGCGTTCGCTCGTCACGCCGAAGACCCGGGTTCGATTCCCGATATGGGTACAATGTGTTAAGCCCATTTCTGGTGTCCCCCGCTGTGATATTCCTGGAATATTGCTTAAAGCGGCGTAAAACCATACTCACTCACTCACTAGTTTTTGTTTATTCAGCCAATACCTGAGGCAGATCATGAAGTAATTTTCATCTCCAATTGGTTTTGATATGAGTCAGTTGTGATTAAACACTTAGGCATCTTCATGATTGCCCAAGGCTGCCAAATGTAGAATTTGCTGTTGGTCACATTGTGACCAAAATGGTTGCCAGGAGAGAGCCTGCTTGCTAGTTTAGTTAAAACTGTTCAGTTTACATCAGAATCGTCCCTTCAAGTTTAGTTTGTGTCAACCAATATCTTGAATTGTGATAGTTATTAACCTCCATTTAACATGCTGAATTGTTTCTAATTGTTGATCCTAATTGTCCAAGGTGACATGTTTGAAGTGATGTTTACGTAAGCTGAGATGATGATGACAGATCATATGTTTAAACATATCATGCATTCATACAAATTCAAAGGGTACAAAGAAACTGTTTTCACGATCGATCATGTTTCCAAATTTGTCTGTTTGCAAATGCTGATGCAGCGTTTTCTTTATGAATCAACAAAAACCTGCACCCTCTTCATACAATTCAGCTCCTATGTCAGATCATGTTGTACAGTACACAAACACAGGCCACAGTAATCACTGGAGGTAAATGTCAGAGAATGTCACTCCAGTTATTGCTGGATATCAGACCAACATGTGGTCACACATGGGTTAGAAGTTTGTGCGGTTTAACTCAACTGTTACCATTTTTATTGACACTAATTTGGATCTCAAACTACGAAGCTAGCCATGTTAATTTATAGACAGTATCTTCATCTAAATATGTTGAGTTGTGAGATATATTTTATGTACATTGATGAACTGTTGGCATGTTTATTGGTTCAATAAACTTGATAAACATAGTATTTCTGACCGAGACTTGTGCTCAGATATATATGTGTATTGGCAAGCGGAATGTAAGTATATCAACAATGAAGCTGATGGTGTTGTTCCAGGGTTTTACCTTGACCTGCAGGACTCGGGGTCTGAGGATCCCAATGATACATTTTAGAATGAATGAGTATGGTTTTACGCCGCTTTTAGCAATATTCCAGCAAAATCACGGCGGGGGACACCAGAAATGGGCTTCACACATTGTACCCATATCGGGAATTGAACCCGGGTCTTCGGCTTTAACCACCAGGCTACCCGACCGCCCCCGATACATTTTAGAAGTAATAAGGGCCCCGTGAAGTAATGAAATACTGTAGTGAACTGGACTGTAAGACTTGATAATTACATTGATCACAGGACCTTTATATTCTTCTATGGGGTTTCCATTCTGTACATGTGTGTGTACTGGACACGCATTTCCAAGTCACATTCGATAATATATGATATATTATACAATTTGGATATTTATTGGAAAATTGAGAAAGAGGACTTTTGATTAAGTTCTTATACAGTTTCATTTTGATGATGAAGATGATGATGATGATGATGTTGGAGATGTAACGAGTGCTGCTGGAGGACTGGTTTGGCACTCATTCTTTTGCGAGTTTAAGGACACCTTGATTCATTTGGTCTGGGAACACTGATTATATTGTGCCTTTAAACTTTGAAGAAGTGAAAATTTAAGATGATCTGATACTTGGCATTGACAATGATAACATGGTTAATAGACAAACATGAATGATTCAGAAAACACAATACAGTTCTAAAGGTCTTTGATAGTCATAACCAAATGATTTCAGAATTAACCGGTGATATTTGCAGATCAGCAGACAAGCAGTCAGCAAGAAAAACTTCATATGTTATGCACATAATTATATATGATCGTGATCTTTGATTATTCAGATGATATGCAAATGGTTTGTCGACCATATTGTACCAGGTCTACCTTAAAATTGTTTAGCGATGAATGCAACATGTTTTGATGTGAGTCTCACAGTGAGATCAACTGTCAGAATTGCATGTAAATGTTGTGAGCAGGCCTGGCATCACGTGACCCTGTGTATTCTCTATGTCAACATGACTAATGAGGTGTACCGCTGTTCTCTGTGCAACAATGGAAGAAATGGGGCAGATGATCCTCTAGTCTGCAACCAGTACCTATGATTAATGTTGCTTGATAGTTGGAATGAAATATTCGGGGACTCCAACGCGTTGTTTGGGGCATATTATGCCTTTAATTATGATGCAATTTGATACATCGCTATGTCATATTTGACATACTTGGCATACATAGGAAAATGATATTGTCCTGTCACTGGCTGGAATTATTTAAAGGACTTATGTGTTTTTGTCATGAACATTTCGAATGTAGGGTGTTCATGGAAGTCGGATGATTATTTTATTTAACTATGTGATGTACATGTTTTGGGTTTTTTGTGTAAGTTTATTGTTTTGATGATTTCATGATTTTAAGTCCCATGTTAATCAATGACTAACTGTTAATTCATTCCTCACCATGTCAGCTCCATGAAAAGACATAACATAAAACATTGACTCAGACACTGAGAAACTACTCTTAATATTTCATTTGGTTTGTGGATCTGCAGTTGTTTCAATGTACTTCACCAATTTTATACCTGAATTGTTGACAAAAAAGAAATATGCACCCAGTTTGTTAAACTGCAAGACCAATAGAACCTGCTTGACGAACATAAATATCCCTGTGAAGAACACAAGAAATGTCAGAAATTCCTCTTTGGCTTACCTGACTGAACGTGAACATATCTCATGGCATGGTACATGCTTTCATCTCCTCAGAAACCACTAGACCAATAAATGAGTGAGTGGTGAGTGAGTGAGTTTGGTTTTATGCTGCTTTTAGCAATATTCCAGCAATATCACGGCGGGGAACACCAGAAATGGGCTGTGACGTTGTACCCATGTCGGGATTTGAACCCGGGTCTTCGGCGTGTCGAGCGAACGCTTTAACCACTAGCTACCAGGCCGCCCCAACTTTACCAATGAAGCTGAAACTTCACATGCTTGTCCCCACCAATGATAACACCTGTATGTGCTCAAGGTGTTTGATTCATGTTTCAATATGGCCGCCACAGCAGCCATAGTTATGCAGATGAGATTTGGTATAGGCGTAGCTAGTGATGGAGCTCAACTCATATGTTCAGTTTTTTTGCATCATTGTATATTTTTAACTGGGTTTGACCTTTGCTTTTTTCTCTCAAAATGAGCTCTTGGCTGAGACTTCATATGCTCGTTCCAACCAATCATAGCACCTGAATTTTCTTAAGAGGTTTGAATCTGATTTTCAAAATGGCCACTGTGAAAATTTTGAAAATTTGTTTAGAGAAGGGAATCTCACCTTGTAATCTCTTAAAACTTTGTCTTTTTGTGTAATACTCAAGACATGTGAGAAGGTTGAATAACATCACATATCATGTCAGCATGAGCTGTATTTTCCAGACCTGTTTTCTTATGATTTAAGTGAAGTTTAATACTTGGAATACTGGCTTGGTGCCATTCAGTCAGGGAAATAACTAAAGCGGTAGATAAATCCGACATTTTACCAGGTAGGATGTTTCATGAGACGTAAGAGGGCAATTGAAGAATGCAGCCAAATAGCTACAACACAACAGGCTATAAGAAATATACTCGTTATAACTCACTGCTGAGATAAAGATAATCTTTCAGACGAATGTAAACTATCATTATCTGCTGAGGCTATAATACTTTAATTATTCGATTTTCGTTCCCATGCTCCTCACTACCAAACACTCCTGCCTTCATGTTTTTGTCCCCAAATAACTTCAGACAAATCCAATTACTTGTCATAAGTGACTCCTTTGTTCTTTACAAATAATACACCATCCGGTAGTGTGGGTAGGCCAACCAAACATTGATGCTCCTTGTGACTCTTTACAGTTAATCTTAATTAGAGTTAATCTTTACAGATGCCTTGAATTTTTTGTTGAAATATAATAAGAATGAAAAATAAGGGGCCTTCCTCATCGCAACTTTGGAAACATTAAACGTGTGAATCTGATAATCGATTCATTATGACCTAAACTAGTTGTTTAAAACATACAAAGTAGATCATTTGTTCAAGCCGTATCGACTTCCTGACTGTTCATGTACAATATCTTCTTATACCAGTTGTATTGTGTGTTAACTGAAGTACAATTATGGCAATCTACATCACATTCAGTTATACCCTAAAATTCTAGGTGGATTGTAGCACTGTTTCCTGATGATGTTAACAGTTCAGAATTGTAAATCGTAATTATATTTTTTCAGAATAACCAGTTCCATGGAGTCGTCCGTTTCTTTTTCCAAGGCGGTGGCGCCAACGTCATCACGAAGTGCATCCGTGTGGCAAGTGATGCCACCACCATGGAGGTCATTGATGTCCTCATTGAGAAGTTCCGGCCTGACATGAGAATGCTGCAGCAGTGTAGATATGCTCTCTATGAAGTTCACGTTAATGGAGGTATGTACTTTTGAAGGCGTTTCCTGATAGCGGTCTTCCACATAAGGCCAAACCAGTTCATTTACTTGTGTTTCAGATTTATTATCCCTGAAGGCAGGAGGGGAAAAAGATTATCACCACTCTTTTATATAAAAAATACTTTAATCACTCAATTTGATCCTGTATTAATGTCATGATATTCATATGAGCCGTCAGTAGATTTGGCATTGGCAGTGCTTCCGGAAGTTTCATAACACATGAGGATTGGTACAATTCCTCTTTGCCACACATGCTGGAGTTATGCAAGGTTGTTATGTCGGTGCTTAGCTTTTCTTGGACGTCTGTCAAATAACCTGAAGTCATTCAAGTAGAAGTAATCTTGATAAGATGTATTTTGCTATCAGCAGTTTGTAAGATACAGGTGTTTCTTCTTAATATATGCAGTGATGTGATCTAAAAACAGCAAGTCAAAATCTGTCATACTCTTCAAAAAGAATATACTGGAGATTTACTTTGCATGATGTTTTTTTCAAATCTTAGTTGGCTAGAAGGAAATGTTTTTTGGGCATTGGCGCTGAACTGTAAATCCTGTAAATCAGACATTTCTAGGCTATTGCCAGTCACAGAAAATATTTATCTTTTTCTGCAACACATGAAGCAGTTTTTGTTGTCCATGCTTGACAACTGGCATTGTAATAAAGAGCAGAGTTCAGGGAGAGTCCAGTTGTGTTTGTTGGTTTTCTCAGTGGGAAAAATAAAGAGGGTTCCTCCCTTATCACTTTTGTTTCAATTAAAGTGCTTCTTCCCTCCCTTGTTTTTGATGCTGCTTTTCTGTTCTATTCTCACCTTTAAAATCACTTTGATATTACAAAGGGATGATCTTCACTTATACAGAGGGGGGGGTCGGTAGCCTAGTGGTTAATGCGTTCGCTCATCACGCTGAAGACCCAGTTTCGATTCCCAACATGGGTACAATGTGCGAATCCCATTTGCGGTGTCCCCGGCCGTTACATAGCTGGAATATTGCTAAAAGTGGCGTAAAACCTCACTCACTCACTCACTCACTCACTCACTCACTCACTCACTCACTCACTCACTCAGAGGCTTTATCACCATGCACACCACTGTTATGTGATTGGAATTTTTAACTATTTAATCAATTTTTGTTTCATACCATTTAATTGGATCCATTGTTTATGGTTACTTTCCTATTCAAGAGAGTTCGGTCATGGTTACAGTAAACTTTACACTGGTTTGTTAACGTTTGTTTTACGAGTGAGGATAATAGAGCTCTGATTTATGTAAGGGCGTCAGAATTATACGACTTCTCCAGGAATACCAGCTCCCGGCAGCTTACACCTAGAGCCCTGCTTGCTTTGGACACGACTACTTTAGATCTCTTTATCACCACCCGACCTGGAGATCAAGATAAACAAGCGATACAAGTACATCTTTCACCAGTGTTGTTTATACTCAATACCTGTGTTTATTCCTTGTACTTATATGGCTCAGAAGGTACCCATCTACACTACATCAAAATAACGACCTTTGTTTGGCAGAGAGGACTATTGTTTGTCAGGAGGCGGCTCGTTTTTCAATTGATCGCTGTCCAGCGCCAGATTCTTTGTGGGTGTTATCTGTGAAGCTGACCAATGATGTATCTCTCATTAACTGCAGGACATGATATGTGCAACATGAACTGTGAAATGGACAAGTGTTTTTCCCATTAGGTTTCTTTGTGCTGTGAAGGAAACACTGATATTGACGTTCTTATCGGGCAAAGTGGCGGGATCTACATGAAAAGACTTGTACGTTTACTGACCAGTGTATTTGCAGAGAGACTAAATAGCTTTGTGGTTTCTGCTCTTATCTAAGTGGCTGGATGATGAATTGAAACGGCTCTTTTGTATTGGATGGATCAGGACAGAAACATTTGGTTGTGAATAACTGTGTAACTGTTTCAGAACATGCTGAGTCTTGAACAAGTATATTTGAAATGTATGTATGAGATGTCAGAGTTAGAAACTAAGTTTTATTTTCACTAGTCTGTAAAGGTCAGCAGGTTTTGACAAACTGATTGCATTAGCATCTGTAAACAATAAAAGTATGTTGTAAAAGTTTTGTGAGATAAGGATGGGCATGCACAGCACACTGGTTGCTAGGTATGGTTAGTGAGATTCTGTTAAGCATCCTCTCAACTGTGACCTGGCTGATTTAGGACACCGTTTGCCACTGGCATACTCCCTGCATGTGTACACCACAATATGCACTGATCTTACTGATATAGCAAACGATTGAACTCTTTCCTCTTGTGGGGACTGGAGCACTGATCATGCTGATAGAGCAGAGGACTGACCTCTTTCCTCCCAGCCTCCCGACATCACAACCAGCCTCCTCACAACACTACAAGCCTCCCACATTCAGCCTCCCCACAACACAACTAGCCTTTCAACAACACAACCAGCCTTTCAACATCACAACCAGCCTCTACACAACACAAACAGCCTTTCAACATCACAACCAGCCTCTACACATCACAACCAGCCTCCCTACATCACAACCAGCCTCCCTACATCACAACCAGCCTCTACACATCACAACCAGCCTCCCTACATCACAACCAGCCTTCACACATCACAACCAGCCTCTACACAACACAACCAGCCTTTCAACATCACAACCAGCCTCTACACAACACAACCAGCCTTTCAACATCACAACCAGCCTCTACACAACACAACCAGCCTTTCAACATCACAACCAGCCTCTACACATCACAACCAGCCTCTACACATCACAACCAGCCTCCCTACATCACAACCAGCCTCCCTACATCACAACCAGCCTTCACACATCACAAGCCTCCCTACATCACAACCAGCCTCCCCATATCACAACCAGCCTCCCCACAACACAACGAGCCTCCCCACAACACAACCAGCCTCTCCACAACACAACCAGCCTCCCCACAACACAGCCAGCCTCTCCACAACACAACCAGCCTCCCCACTACACAACCAGCCTCCCCACAACACAACCAGCCTCCCCACTACACAACCAGCCTCCCAACACCACAACCAGCCTCCCCACTACACAACCAGCCTCCCCACTACACAACCAGCCACCCACATTCAGCCTCCCCACAACACAGCCAGCCTCTCCACAACACAACCAGCCTCCCCACTACACAACCAGCCTCCCCACAACACAGCCAGCCTCTCCACAACACAACCAGCCTCCCCACTACACAACCAGCCTCCCCACAACACAACCAGCCTCCCCAACAACACAACCAGCCTCCCCACAACACAACCAGCCTCCCCACAACACAACCAGCCTCCCCACTACACAACCAGCCTCCCAACACCACAACCAGCCACAATAAATCCCCAGTTTCTGCCAGGAGTGTGGTAGGTACACCCATTCTGATAGCGCAGATGCCTGTAGGTATATATCAAATAGGGAACAGGTCTGCTTTGAACATGTTGAGGCACAGACACACAGCTATTTTCATCTACTGATTGAGAAAACAAACTCCAGTGTTTGGCACTTGAGCAATTGTAGCTGTTTGGTTCTGGGTCTGTGATGAAACTGGTGCTGGTTTGTCAAACATTTGCCATATCTTATCACCATTCATCTTGCTCACAAACAAGTAGTTTTGCTACAATTAGGTGTAGGAGGTGGTAATATTATCTATTTCACATTCTGGTTTTCTATTCACTTTTCTAACACTTAAGGGGGGGCACGAATGGCCCAGTCGTCTAAGGTGCCACGATTCGCTGTGCAGAGTTGCCTTCCTTGGGCACGCCAGAAACCTATGATTGTGGTTTGAATCCCGGTCCCCCCTGATTATGTTTCCAGGTTTACCACACCATACCCGTGCTTGTGGGTTTCACCGAAGTGGTAAACGTCTGAGACCTGCATCACTTCGGGCTTTCCTCCCACATTAAGCTGACACGCCTCAATATGACTGGAATACTGTTAAAAGCGTCGTTAAACCCAACTCACTCACTAAACACTTAAGGGGTCATAGTTTGCTATGCAGAGTTGCATTCCTTGGGCACACTAGAAACCTGTGATTATGGGTTCGAATCCTGGTTCACCCTTAATATATTTCTAGGTTTGTCAGCACCATACCTGAGCTCATGGGTTTCAGTGGTAAATGTCTTGGACCTGCATCATTACAGGTTTTCTTCCCACATTAAGCAGACACGCTGTGTCCAAAACTGGAATACTGTTCAGATCACAGATCATCGTTAAACCCAACTCACAAGCTCACTCAACACTGGAACATTTTGGAAAGTCATCTGAAGGATAATGACGCACTCTTTATGTTGATTTTGAAACATTTCATTTCTATGTCAACATTTTTATAGTCGTACCTGGCAATTTCAAATGTTATTTTATTTTTATGAAAGGAATTTCATTTCTGTGGACAGCAAAACAATACCTAATGGTTTGAATCTGTAATGCTAACCTTCCTTATCTATGTTATATACCCTACATACACATCACAGTGTGTAGACAGTCCTGCTGGCAGTGTGATTGATGGACAGATATGACACTTGACACGTCCTGGCGACCCAGGGATTGTTTTGAGGTCCTTACTTGACCTCCTCGCAGTTCAGGAAGACCTGGGTGTGTTTTGACAACCCTATCTACAGACAGAAGACTCCCATGTGGAATTGCAGAGGGAACGTCAAGTTGTACATCCGATTAATCTAAACACTTGCACGAGCTTTGACATTAGCTGTAAATAGACCAATGCTTATTTGTTATACCATGTGCATCTCATGAACTTGAGGTAACCTTTGGTTGTGAATACAGTCCTCCCCAGGGTGTTCGTGTATAACTTCAACAGGTGATGTAGGTTGGATTAAATCAATATGAAGGTGGTTGTTTCAATTTGAATAAATTCGAATTTCATGTCAAAATATTTCTTGGATAGAAATTATTCTTTTTTTTATTTTAAGAAATAGGTAAGATAAAATATTTATTGCACAATATTACCTGAAGAAACA